CTCTCACTCACACACACACTCTCTCTCTCTCTCACACACACACACACTCACTCTCTCACACACTCTCACTCTCTCACACACTCTCACACACACACACACTCACTCTCTCACACACACACTCTCACACACACACACACTCACTCTCTCACACACACACACACTCACTCTCACACACACACACAATCACTCTCACACACACACACAATCACTCTCTCACACACACACACACAATCACTCTTACACACACACACACACACACACACACACACTCACTGTCTCTCACACACACACACACACATGCCACTCGTTCCTCTGACCCCACCTGACTTTATCCATCTGCCCCACACTCATTCACTCACTCCCTCAGTTGAAGCCATAAATTGAACGTCATTCGGTTCTCCATTCGTGTCTTCTACAACCCCAACTGCCTCCCTCCCACAATCCTTCCTATGCACCTCTGTGACAAATACCTTAATTCTATCCCAAACAGCCCCTCCCCATCCATCCTTTCTCTCTCTCCTGCACCACCCTATACCCCTGCTCTCCCTGCTACACTACATGCTCCATTTCTGCTCTCCTTCCAACTTGGCATCCATCCTACAACCACTCGGTATACATCCCACATCCCCCAATCCAACCCTACCCCACCCAACCCACATGCCCCTCCTCTCATGCATCCATCAAATCTCCTTACCATGATCCACGTTCTCTGTCCCGTACCACCACATCCCATTCTCTTCCCCCTTCCACCACACCGCCCTCTCTTTCCTCTGCAGCTTCACCCTATATCCCCCCTCTCTCTCCTCTGCACCTTTACCCTGTATTCCTCTCTCCCTTCTCTGCCCCTTTACTCCAGAAGGTCCTTCACCCCACATCCCTCTACACTCCCCCTTCGCTTCACATTCCCCTCTCTCTCTCCTCTGCTCGCTTTACTCTTCAACCCTCCACACTTCACATTCCACTCCTCTGCCCTTTCACCCCACAACTCCATCTCTCTCCTCTGCCTCTTTCTCCCAAAATCTCTTCTCCCTTCACACATTTCCCCACATTGCCATCTTCCTCATTTGGCCTGCCCTCGAGACCTCCCTCTCCCTTCTCTGCCCCTTCCCCTCATACCCTCCTCTCCTTTCTCAATCCCGCAAACCCCTCTCCACCCCCCACATCTCTTCTTCCTTCCCACATAAGCCCCTCCCTCCATTGTCCCTCAGCTAGTTCCACTTCCAGTGTGAGCTACCTCACCCCACTTTTGCTTTATCTGTGTTCCCCTCATCCCTGTCCTTCCTCCTCCCTCTACACCTTTGTCCATTTCTCTTAAGTCCTGGCGGAACCTAAAAATTCAGTTGATGGATTATGAAAGCAGCAGGAATGGTGACCCTTTTCTCATCCCATGCCTTCTAAGGCTCATAATTACCAGAATCATGAAGTCAAAAACTGCACAATGGGAACTGCATTTTGTTAACAGAATGGGATGTTTCTATAAGATTACCTCTACGTCAGTCTCCAACTTAATTTTTATCATATTGTATTCCTCTGCATCCTGAACCCGCAACTGCTGAAGTTGATTCTCATATTGCTCCACTTTGTCCATTCGCGCCATCAGAAACTCAATCTAAAAAATAGAAAATAATTAGTGTTTTTGTAAACAACTAATTCTGAAAATCTGCATACTCTTAATCAATCCTCTTTTTATTTAAAGGATCGATAAGTGGACTCAGAGATTCCTCCCAAAATTCCTAATCGCAGTTTATTTTAGCATCAAAGAAGAGAGATGAATCTTATGATGGAAACTGACTAACCTTAAGGTACAATTGCAAACAAAGAACAACGAACATATCAGTGATTAGTGGTTATGGTAACTGAACCAGCAAAGTTCTAAGTGGCTAGCATACCCTTGGTACCATTGGGCGTTTGTGTGTAAATTCACATGTATGGTAATATTTCTGATATGAAATTTATATTCTGATAATATATTCAAAACAGAAAACAAAGGCTCTGTGGAACTATAATTTAAAACAATGTTTAAACACCATACTTAAATGGTGCCAATTCCATAGTAAAAATGTCAGGAATTTCAAAAGTTTTAAGATGTAGAATAGATATGAATCAGTCAAACAAGTAGAACTTATAAAATTACCATACTTTTGAGAGGACAGAAGCTATCCTTTTTGTGTATCATTAGTAACTGCTCCCCAAAAGTGATTAATTTGTTGTGAAATGATGCAAAGGAGTATACAAAAGAATATTTCCATGTTCTTCCATTAACTGTGCAAAAAGAAAATTGATAGTGTACTATTCAGTAATACAGAAGCAAAATGTAGATACGGAATACAAATCAAAATTCAGATAAATATACAGAAATCAAAATTATCTTTTTAAAATTAGTTTGTGTCTGTCAGTTACACATGCATTAGTGTATTTTTTGCTTAGATGTGTCATTCATGATCAAATGTAAGATTTGCACATCAGAACAATGCGCAAAAGGTTGGCTCTTTTTCAAGCATTATCATCAGCCAGACAACTTCACAATAATAGTTAGCTGCCTCCACCATCATCAAGTCTTCTAAGACTTTCCGGCAATTGCAGTTCTTAAACTTTAAGTTAGTCTCTTGGTGGTTTTTCCGAATTCCGCTATTCTGTCATTCTTAATATGACTTGGGTCTAGTTATCTGGTTCCAAAAACTTTCTTTTTATAGTCCAATCAGAAAATAAAGCTTGTACTTTGAGCTAGACACATCATAACAAACCACCGCAGAGGGAACAAAGTGCATACATAGGTTTTTATAACCCACATCAGGTGAACAAGGACAACTACTACTGAAACAGCCTCAAGTATTTAGCTTAAAGGACAGACAACGCGTAGATGTTAAGCAAGTATTTTACATCAAGTTTGAAAACAGTGTACTATTCAAGCTTGCATTTTTCAAGAAGTTAAGATTTTTTGATAACTTTCTTTCTTGAGCACACTTCAAAACACGCAATACTTCTGGATGTGATACTTATTTACCTCTTTGTCTCTTCGCATCTGCATTTTCTTTTCCCACATCACAAGATTACTTTTGATTAGCTCATGACGTTCCAGCTGAAATGCTTTCTGTTAAGCATAGAAAGAAACAAACATATAAATAATCTCGTATCAAATGAATCTTAAATGAAAATTTAAATTTTCATGACCCATCACCATGGTGCTGTCATCATTCGTTGATCAATGGAACTTCCTCAATAAGTTATCAAAAACGGCAAAAGAAGTTTTTTCCTCGATGGGGTGCAAACAAAAGACTACAGAAAGACTACTATGCTTCTAATAAAAAAAGTCATAAACTGAAAACAAATTGAATGGAAATCCTATCAATATTGAATGAAAAGGAAGAGAACTAAAGCTATGGCATGAAACAAGGTATGGGACGGATATGGCCAAATGCAGGCAGGTGGGACCAGTTTAGATTGGGAACATGGTCAGCAAGGACTAGTAGGACCGAAGGGTCTGTTTCCACACTGTATGACTTTATGATTCCATCAGGGGTCCTTCAGTATCTCACTCAATCATCCTGATTTTCATTGAGTGAGTTTTAGTGCAGCTCACCACACCTTACATTGCAATTATGCTGCCAGACCAGTTTGTTCTTAGTATTACTGGTTTTCTCATGTCCTCTCTTCGCTCTCCTAATTTCGTTTTTAAGTAACCCCCTGCTTTGAGCCCTTGATTGGTGACCTGACAGAGTGACTAAGATGCGTAGAGGGCAGGAAAGGTTTATAGCTTTGGGGATTGAGTGGGTAAGAGCCACCGAAGGAAGATGTTACTTTCAATATTAGAAGTCACACAACACCAGGTTATAGAATCATAGAATCCCTACAGTGTGGAAACAGGCCCTTTGGCCCAACAAGTCCATACCGACCCTTGGAGCGTCCCACCCAGACCCAGCCGCCTATAACCTACCAAAGCTACATATCCCTGAACACTACGGGCAATTTAGCATGACCAATCCACCTAGCCTGCACATCTTTGGACTGTGGGAGGAAACCCGAACAGCTGAAGGAAACCCATGCAGACACGGGGAGAATGTGCAAACTCCACATAGACAGTCGCCCAAGGGTGGAATCGAACCCGTGTTCCCGGTGCAGTGAGGCCACTGAGCCATCATGCCACCCCGTCGCATGACAAAGGAGCAGCACTCTAAAAGCTTATGATTTCAAATAAACTTGTTGGACTATAACCTGGTGTTGTGTGACTTCTGAATTTGTTCACCTAGTCCAACACCAGCATCCCCACATCATGACATTCAATATTGAGAGTGGTAAACCATAAGTCTTGGTGGGAGGTGGGTGCAATGGCAAACTTAGAGTTTGTGAGGTTCCATGAAGAAAACGGTACGTATTATTGCGGAGTGGAGAAAGTCATTAATTTTTTACGCATTGATGCGCATTCCTTCAGACTGTGGTCACCACAGTTACTCAAGTGGTTACTTCAGGCCAGGTTGGTATCATTTCAAGCAGCTGGTTAAATATGGTGGCTGCAGCATGAACTCTGGGAGACTGCAGCTACAGCACGCACTTCCTGCTGCTGAATACGAGACAGCATGATAGCGGGACCATTGAGGCATGCCGCATACTCAATGAGATGAGCTAGGGAAAAGCGCATGAGATAACTTGCTGGAACTAACAGAGAAAACCTCTCCATGAAACTCCTTGAAATTGACACTTAGCTGACTTGTAGTAAAATCCAGTCCCTTAAGTCAATGATCTATCATTCAATAAAGCATCTTGTTACTTAATACAACATGGATTTAGGTTGAGAGAAAAACAATCTTTCTCACCACCAGAAACAGACCTTGACAGTTGTATTGAAATGTCTACCTACTAGTCTACTTTATCTTGTTGTCTAGTCACATTGTCAAAGAAATTCCAATGAATTTGTGAAATATGATATCCATTTTATAAAACCACACTGAATTTATCTGATCATATTATGATTTTCTACGTACATTGTAATGATTTACTGAAGGATTCCAGCCATTCCCAACAAACTGATGTCAGGCTAATGGGGTTGTACTACCCAGTTTTCTCACTTTCCCTTTCTTAAATAGTGACATTGTTGCTGAACCAGTAATCCAGAGATCCTGGTTCAACACCACCATGACAGATGGAATCAAAAGTCCAAAGATGACCATGAAACCACTGTCAATTGCCCATGTGGGATGGAAAGCTGCAGAATCACCTTGTGTAACCTACATGTCACTCCAAATCCAACAGAAGTATGGTTGACTATCAGCTACCCTCTAAGATGGCTCAGCAAGCCACTCAGTTGTATTAAAATAACAACCGGAGTCTCACCAACCTTCCTGCTACAGATGCATCTGTCTACCATAGTATCAATAGAAGTGACCACCGCATTGTCCTTGTGGAGACAAAGTCACGTTTTCACAGTCAGGAATATTGTGCAGTGCAATCTACGTGATAAATGGGATATACTTTGAACAGATCTAGTAACCCAAGACTGGAAATCCAGGAGGCACTGTGAGCTACCAGCAGCAGAATTGTGCTCAGATACACTTTGCAACCTCATGGCCATAATCAAGAATGGTAGGGCAGGCTCGATAGGATGAATAGTTTACTTCTGTTCCTATGTTACTATGTTACCACAAATTTGCTAATTGTATCTGCAACATATTCCATAAAATCCTATATGTTGCATTGAACCTTGTTCTCTCATTTGAACCAGGTCGTATAGAATCATGGAGTCATACAGCAAGGAAACACACACTTCAGTCCAACCAGTCCATGCCGATCATAACCCCAAACTAAACCTACCCGCGCTTGGCCCATATCCCTTCAAACGTTTCTTATTCATGTACTTATCTAAATGTCTTTTAAATGTTGTAACTGTATGAAAATCCACCACTTGGTCCGGAAGTTCATTCCACACATGAACCGCTCTCTGTGTAAAAATATTGCCCCTCATGTCTTTTTTAAATCTTTCTCCTCACACCTTAAAAATATGACACCTAGTCATGAAATCCCCCACCCTAGGGAGGATTACCTGCCATTCACCTTATCTATGCTCCTCATGATATTATAAACCTCTATAAGGTCAAATCTGTGGTAACATAGGAACAGGAGTAAGGTACTAATTCTATCGAGCCTGCCCTGCCATTCTTGATTATGACCATGAGGTTGTAAATTGTACCCGAGTACAATTCTGCTGCTGGTAGCTCACCATGCCTCCTGGATTCCTGCACACCAGTGAAAAAAGTTTCAGCCTATCCAGCCTCTCCTTATTACTCAAACCCTCCATTCCTGGTGAATCTTTTCTGAACCCTCATCTTAATAATATCCTTCCTATAACAGGGTGACCAGTACTGGATTTCAGAAGAGGCCTCATCAACATCTTGTACAACCTCAACATAATGACCCAACTCCTATAGTTAAATGTCTGAGCAATGAAGGCAACCATGCTAAAGCCTTCTTAAACACCCTATCTATATGTGACACAAACTTCAAAGAATTATGTACCTGAACCCCTAGGTCTCTCTGTTCTACAACACTACCCAAGGACCTACTTTAAATTCTATAAGTCCTGCCCGTGCTTGTTTTACCAAAATGCAACACCTCACACTTATCCAAATTAAACTCCAATTGCCACTCTTCAGCCAATTGATCAAGGTCTCTTTGTAATCCTAGATAACCTTCTTCATTGTCCACTACACCAACAATTTTGGTGTCATCCACAAACTTACTAACCATGCCTTCTATATTCTCATATAAATCATTTATATAAATGACAAATGAAAGTGGACCCAGCACTGATCCCTGTGGAATGCTGCTGGTCACAGCCTCCAGTCTGAAAACAACCCTCCACCATCACTCTCTGCCTCCTGCTGTTAGACTAATTTTGCACCCAATTGACAAGCTCACCCTGTATCCCGCGTTATCTAAATTTATTAATTAGCCTACCACACCAAACCTTGTCTAAGGCTTCACTAAAGTCCAAGTAAACAATGTCTACCACTCTGCCCTCATCAATTTTCTTGGATAATTCCTCAAAAAACTCAATTGAGTTAGTGAGACACGATTTCCCTCACTCAAAACCATAAAAGGAAATAAAAGCTGGCCTTACCTCAATCTGCATCAATTCCTCTCTGTAGGATTTTGTTAAGGTCTTTATTTGTTCTTCCATTCTTTCTAACAACAGATCAATGTCATCAGCTGCTTTCTTCAGGTCTTTCACATACTGATCATCACTTAACTTTAATTCCTGTAAATACATTAAGTAATGCACATAGAATTTGATGGTTCTTTAACTGAGCTTGCTTTTTTTCCCCCAAGATACAATTATGAAACTATTAAGGTATGGTCTGGAAACATAGCCTGCAAAGATCCATAGGCATCTTTTTCCATTAGTAAAAGACAACTAGTTATTAACATCCATAACTGTGGGGAAGGGTGGGGAGGCACATCTCCACATGCTAGGCATACAATTTAATGAAAAATAATGTCAAAATAACATCAGATTATAAAGTCACAGCATCTTGACCTATTCAAAACTCTATATGCAATACAAAAGTTTTATGTTTTAATAGAAGAGTAGGTTCCAGCTCCATTACAGTTCAAAATTCATTTCCTAATTCTGATTTTGGTTCAACGTAAACTTACCAGAGACAAAACAAGAGTATTCTCACTCGATAGCGCTCAAATCTCATTGACTTGAAACGTAACACTGTTCTTCTTGGTCTTTAGTGATGCCAGAGTTGTGGAATACTTTCAGTGTCCTAACTCACTGAGCAGCCTTTACTGGCCTCCATGTAGTGAGCTGAAATGAGGGGCCCAGTAAAATTTCAGTGAGCTGCATTAGCACAGCTCCCTAAAGTAGTCTCATCGCCAGGGAATTTCACCAAAAGTTTTACCAACAGCTGAGCAGTAGTCACTCTAAAGAGTTATGCAGAAATTAGCATAATTGAAAAGCAGAATATGCAGGTGCTCAAAATCTGAAAAATAAAAACAGGACATGCTGAAAATACTCAGCAGTGCTGGCACCATCTGCAAAGAGAGAAAAAAAAAGTTTCCGTTCAGGTCAATAACTTTTTGTCAGAACTGAGAAAAGTTTGGGGTGTAATAGGTTTTGAGCAAAGTGTGTGCAAAGCAAGGAAGGTTGTGATAGCATGAATTTCAGAAAGCTGATAGAATATTCTGTGTTAAATGGCCCAATGAAGGAGCAGCAAGGAGGGAAGGTAGCCCCAGGTCCCCTCTGTTGCATTATTCAGCCTCCTGAATTTTTTTGTTTTTGTTTTAAACCTCACTATCTGAGCTATCAAAGTCACCCACACATCTCAGAAGCAACCACATTCCCCCAGCGGTGCTGACTGACCCTTCTAAGATATCAGCTTCCTGACTGGGCTGGCAGCATCAGCACCTTCATTAATTGGATGGTAGATCTGCATATAAACAAGTAGGAGAACACCTTTTTGTAAGATTAGCAAAGTATCCCATTTGCCATCAAGTGCAAGCTCAGGATCCATTGTCATCTAACTTCAGAATCCTGATGCCCGTAGTAAAATTCAGGCCAACTACTGGGTTTGCAAATTACAATCACAAGTACAAAAACATTCATCAGTCAACGTCTCAGTTCCTCTCAGCTTCTTAATGTGTGACAATTTACCTTCTGCAAAGTGTTAATCAGCTTGTTTTTCCCCTCAATTAACTCAGAACAGCTCTGTTGCTGCTTGATTAGAATGTCACGCAGATCCTGTGGAATTTTACGGGCTTTTGCCGTCAGCCATTTCTTCGTGATATTCTCAAATTTTTCTTCACTCAATGTTGCTTCATTTTCCAGCTTTGCAGACCTTTATAAACCAAAATAAATTTTAAAAATCCAGCATTTTGAAAACTAAATGTAAATATAGATACTTTTCATATTAAACAAAAACAGAAATTGCTGGAGAAACTCAGTGGGTCTAGCAGCATCTGTGGGAAGCAAGCATAGTTAACACTTCAGTGAAGCTCAGCACAAGCTGGAAGAACAGCATCTCATTTGCCAATTGAAAACCCTGCAGCCCTCAGGATTCAACACTAAGTTTAAAAATTTTAGGGCCTGAGCACCTTCTTCTATGTCCTTTTCCCAAACCCCACACACTATAGGCCATGTCATCACATGTGCTGCCAACATGATCAACTCTATTGGGGTCTCCATTAGCAGCTACTGATTCTCCCAGGTTGACCATTATGCTTTCTTTTGTCTACCTGACTGTTTTTATCTCCCTCTGGGCTCCATCTCCATCTCCATCTTCATCTATCATTTACTCCTCCCCCCAGTACCATCTTCAGCATATATATCAACCTTTTCTTAGTTACAATCAGTTCTGAAGAAGGATCACTGGATCAGAAATGTTAACACTGCTTTCTCTGCACAGTTGCTGCCAAACCTGCTGAGTTTCTCCAACAATTTCTGTTTTTGTTTCAGATTTCCAACATCCAATTTATAGACTTTTTCTCCTCTCATCAGCAGAGCAAGGTCAATAACAAAACTTGAGCTTCCTTACTGTTTTAACCACTATTTGTGATTATTTTCCATACCTCACCAAGACAATTATATCTGAACACAAAAGTTTTTTCAAATGAATTTGTGAACTTCTTAACAAATCTGACATTCAAATCAATATCAGACCAGATTATGAATGTTCCTGTTGTTACAGATTGGGAGTTTTAAAACAAATTTCTCTCCCTATTCTCAACACCTCTCTGTACACAGATTATCATTTAACATTTCTCATTTTTTAAAATATAAACAATGGAGTTTATTTGCCCCACTCCCTCTATTTGTGGGCAATGATTTTGTAAGGGCCAAAACATCACTGTTGTAGCACAGAACCAGAAGTAGGGTTTACTTCACACACTCCTTTGTGGAGGAAGGAAATTGAAATATTGTAGTTTCTAATCTTCAGAAACATAATTCTATACTTACTACAAAGCTTAATGCTCAGTATGAGAAAAGTCCCATAACATTTTTAGAATATTCAACAAATATGATGGACCATGTTCATTCACAAGTTTGCTCGTGAAACTGCTGCATGAGAGGATGGTACTTAGAATAAATCCAATATGAAATGCGAACATTTTTCTCTTTTCCTAACAACTGATCTGGATTACCAGAGTAATATGCTTGGTATATGTACTTTCTCACTTAAATTAAAAAGGTCAGTAAAAGTAATACTGAAAAGCCTCTTTACAGTAACTAAATCTTCACCTAAAAGATAAGCAACAATACACAATATAGCTGTAATTCATAACACATCGCAAGTGACCAAGAGAACTGTAAAAGCTGAGTTAGTTAGCCAGGATTCCTTTTACTGGACACCATCAAGAAACCAGTGCAGGTAACTGATTTGCTCAATATGATATTGCATCAACAGATTTCAATTTCTTGTATAATTTTATCCAACTGTCACTAAAACGCAGAAATCCTTCCATGTTCACCACGATTCCAAAATGTTAGGACAGAACTGGTGCAAATGACAAAGTATAAAAATAGCATAACTGACTCACCTATGCTTTTGCATTTCCCTTTCTGTGCTCCTCCGCTGTATCTCCCTTGAGTTTTCAGCAATTTGCACATTTGTGACCAACGATGTCCCATCTCTTTGCAGCTGAATTAGTTTCTTTAAATATTAAAACAAACCATCAATCACTTGTGATTCCAAACTGTCTGTCTATGTTAAATAGACCAAAGAACTGCAGATGCTTCCGGTCTGAAACAAAAATAGAAAGTACTGGAGAAACTCAGCTGGCCCAACAAAATCTACAGAGAGAAAAACAGAACTGAAAAAGGTTCACTGGACTTGAAACATTAACTGTTTTTCTCTCTCTAGGCTGTGCCAAGTCTGCTGATTTTCACCAGCACTTTCTGCTTTTCTCTGTCTATCTTTCCTCCCACTTTCTTGCCAAGGCCATGGACTTCCATTGCGTTGTGCAGTTTAAAGGTTTCTAAGGATTGATGTGTTGGACTACATACATATGATGAGGTTGGAGGCCATATGACAGAGACACAAGAGAAGAATAACCATGGCTTCAGCAGTATAAGTTCTAGTCACAAAGACTTCAAATAGTTCACTTGTATGCATTAAATACTTGAGCACACTAATGGCTCAGCAATCATTCAAAGATAGATTAACCAATTGGCATCAGCTTTGATGAACCTCAAAATATTGAAAATTCAAATTTAAAGAAGATGAAAAGTCAGATCTGTACTACTGTTAGAAAGCATGGTTAGCAAGTTTGCAGATGACACCAAAATTGGTGGTATAGTCGACAATGAAGAAGGGTAACTAAGATTACAAAGAGATCTTGATCAATTGGGGTCAACGGGTTGAAGAGTGGCAAATGGAGTTTAATTTGGATAAATGCAAGATATTGCAATTTGGTAAAACAAACAAAGACAAGACTTATACAATTACAAGGGGGGCCTTAGGTAGTGTCGTAGAACAGAGAGATGTAGGAGTTCAGGTACATAATTCTTTGAAGTTTGCATCACCAATAGATAGGGTGGTTAAGAAGGCGTTTAGCACACTTGCTTTCATTGCTCAGACATCAGAGTACAGAAGTTGGGCTTTATGTTGAGGTTGTACAAGACATTGGTGAGACCTCTTCTGGAGTACTGTGTCCAGTCCTAGACTCCCTGTGATAGTTCCAGATAAATCCCCAAACTCAGATGAGGTGAATCTCAAACTGCTGTGGGAAGCAAAGGATGAGAGTGCAAGGGCTCTGACATCAATGTTAATCTCTCTCGCCACTTGAGGAGTGCCAAAGGACTGGAGAACAGCTGATGTGATACAATTATTCAAGAAGGGTGAAATGGATAAACCAGGAAACTACAGGTCAGTGAGTCTAACATGGTAGAGAAACTGTTGGAAAAAATTCAGACGGACAGAATCAATCTCCACTTGGAAAGGCATTTATTAACCAAGGGTCTTCAGCATGCTTTGTGAGGGGAATATCATGTCTAAAAAATTCAGTTGAATTTTTCAAGGTGGCCAGAAGTGCACATTAGGGCAATGCAGTTTACGTAGTCTACACAGACTTCAGTAAGGCTTTGGACAAGGTCTTGCAAGGCAGGGTGCTTAATTAGCTAAAATTAGCCATGGGATCCAGGGCAATTTGGTAAACAGGATCCAAAATTGGCTTAGTGACAGGAAAAGGTGGTCAAAGGTGTTTCTGTGGCTGGAAGCCTCTGTCCAGTGGTGTACCACAAGGTCCCTTGTTAATGGTTGTATACAATAATGATCCAGACACAAATGTTTAGGATAGAGTTGAGTGAAAAACTGCTGTCCATTTCACTAGCTTGAGTAAAATTACTGAAGCAAGTAATGGATCATCAGAGACACTGTGGTACAACATATCAGATGTCAATGGGGGAATATTACAATTCAACATGTCACAGAATACATTTTCTTTACTTATCCCACACCAAAAGGGTCAGTCAATTCAGAATCAATGTGTAATGACTGAGCAATATATGTACAATATTAAGCTAAAGAAAAGTGAAGGCTTGAGGGTAAATGTGGACAGGTGTATGTTAACACTAAAGAACTGACCTGTTGCGAGTCTACAACCTGCTTGCAGCTTTTACTTAGATCCTCTTTTCCCTCTTCCTCAACACCATAAATTCTCTCCATCTCTTCCCTACAAAATGATTTGACATATACTTCATTTGTTATGTGAATCTTTTAAATATGACAAACAATAATCATAGCTAAGGCCATCACCAGTCACTTCTTGAATCACTGCGCACCAATACCCGTTTTCTCCTTCCAAATGCGACATCAAGGATGGGTGTGGCCGGAGACAAAAAGGTCTGAAATTGTTTGTGACAAGGAATCGTACAAGACCATAAGAAACAGTAGAAGAATAGGCCATTAGCCAATTGAGTCTTCTTCACCATTCACACCTCATCTGATCATTTTTAATACCGTTTTCCTTTCTTTTCCCATAACTCTGGATTGCCTGATTAAAAATCCACCTATCTCAGCTTTGAATATTCTTAACAACCCAGCCTCTATACCATCTGTGCTAAGTATTCTTAAAAATTCACTACCCTCAAAGGAGAAATTCCTCCTGATCTCAATTTTAAATGAGCAACCACTCACTCTCCCACAAGTGGAAATTACCTCGCCACATCTACCCTAAGGTCCCTAAGAAGCTTGTATGTTGCAAAAAGGATGTCTTTCATCCTTCTGAACGTCGAAGTATATAAGCCCAAGTCACTTAAACGCTCCTCATTAGAAAGCCCCTCCATATCTAGAATCACCTACTGAACCTTCTCCAGACTGTGTCCAATGCCAACGTATCTTTCCTTAAATTAAACACAGGAACAAAAACAAAGGTGCTGGAGAAGCTCAGCAGGTCTGGCAGCATCTGTGAAGGAGAAAACAGAGTTAACGTTTCGGGTCCGGTGACCCTTCCTCAGAAATTTTCCTTAAATTAAAACTGTTCACACCATTCTAGGTGCAGTCTGATTAGTGCCTTGTGTGGTTTTAAACAAGACTTCGCTATTTTCATACTCCATTCCCCTTGAAATAAAGCCAGCAGTCCATTTACTTTCCTTATCACAGAGTGAACTTGGATGAGTTTATGCACAGTCACAGGAAGAACAGACAGGCTGAATATTAAATGAAGAAAGACTGTAGAAAGGTGCACCGTAGAGGGAATTGGGGGCCCTCATGTATGAATCACAAAAAGCTAAAACCCAAGTTCAGAGATAGTAGGAACTGCCGATGCTGGAGTCTGAGATAACAAGGTGTAGAGCTGGATGAACACAGCAGGCCAGGCAGCATCAGAGGAGCAGGAAAGCTGACGTTTCGGGTCTGGACCCTTCTTCAGAAATGGGAGAGGGGAAGGGGACTCTGAAATAAATAGAGAGGGGGGAGGCGATGATGGAAGGTGGATAGAGGAGCAGATAGGTGGAGAGAAGACGGACAGATCAAGGAGGCAGGGCTGGAGCCAGTAAAGGTGAGTGTAGGTAGGGAGTTGGGACGGGAGTTGGTCAGTGAGATGGGAGGAGTGGATAGGTGGGAGAAAAGTCAGACAGGTCAAGGAGGCAGGGAAGAGCTGGGCTGGTCTTGAGATGAGGTCAGAGGTGGGGAGATTTTGAAGCTTGTGAAGTCCACACTGAGACCATTGGGCTCTAGGGTTCCCAAGCGGAATATGAGGTGCTGTTCCTCCAGCCTTCGGGTGACATTGTTGTGGCACTCGAAGAGGCCTAGGATGGACATGTCATCCAAGGACTGGGAGTGGGAGGGGGAGTTGAAGTGGTTCGCAACTGGGAGGTGTAGTCGTTTGTCACAGACCGAGCGTAGGTGCTCCACAAAGCGGTCTCCAAGCCTCCGCTTCGTTTCTCTGATGTAGAGGTAGCTGCATCGGGAACAGTGGATACAATATACCACATATATACCATATACCAATATTCCACCCCAACCTTACGTTCACCTGGACCATCTCCAATACCTCTCTCTCCTTCCTGGACCTCTCTGTTTCTATCTCTGGCAACCACCTGGAAACTGATATCTATTTCAAGCCTGCCAATTCCCGTAGCTACCTAGAATACACCTCCTCTCACCCACCTGCCTGCAAAAATGCCATCCCCTATTCCCAATTCCTTCGCCTCTGCCGCATCTGCTCCCAGGATGATGCATTCCACTCCCGGACATCCTAGATGTCCTCGTTTTTCAAGGACCGTAATTATTCCTCCACAGTGGTTGAAAACGCCCTCAACCACATCTCTCGAGTTTCCCACATATCATCCCTCACATCCGCTACCCACAATAACAACAAAGACAGAATTCCCCTCGTCCTCACGTATCACCCCATCAACCTCCGGATTCAACGCATCATCCTCCGCCACTTCCGCCACCTGCAATCTGACCCCACTACCAAGGACATTTTTCCCTCCCCACCCTTATCTGCTTTCCGGAGGGACCGCTCTCTCTGTGATTCCCTCATCCGCTCCACACTCCCCACTAGCCCCACCACCCCCAGCACTTTTCCCTGCAACCGCAGGAAGTGCTACATCTGCCCCTACACCTCCCCCCTCACCCCCATCCCAGGCCCCAAGAAAACCTTCCACATTAAACAGATGTTCACTTGCACATCTGTTCATGTGGTATATTGTATCCGCTGTTCCCGATGTGGCCTCCTCTACATCGGGGAAACCAAGCGGAGGCTTGGAGACCACTTTGTGGAACACCCAAGTTCATTCTGCTTTCTCCCCACAGATGCTGCCAGACCTCTTTACCATAGGCTCTTATCTTGGTAAGAAGCCTTAATTGTAGTACTTTGTTGAACTCCTTTTGGAAATCCAAATAATTTACATCCACTGGCTCCCCTTCATCCTTCCTGCTTGTTATCTCCTCAAAGAATTCTCATAAATTTGTCAGGCATCATTTCCCATTCATGAAGACATGCTGTCTCTGCATGACTATGTTATGTACTTATTGGAATGATAATTAATTACTTAATAATATAAATTATCAGGACAGCAGCCAGACAAATACTTGAATCCTATCATTGTAATAAATGCTTGTTTTTAGAATAAACTTATTTTCTGCTGAACTGAACAGCAATAGATTGGTACAGGAATCAAAGGTTATGGGGAAAGGCAGGAAATTGGACAAGAAGTGTCGGATTAGCCATGATTCTACTGAATGGCAGAGTAGGCTCGAGGGGTCAAATGGCCTACTCCTCCTCCTCCTATTTCTTATGTCTTACAATTATAATCTTAAATGTACCAAAAAAGAATTTAAGATGAGGGCAGTGGAGTTGAAAGTGTTTCAGTTATTTAAGGGTTACATTTTCATTCATGTTGCAAAAGGAAATGGGACGCATGAACTAAAAGCACAGCAGCTACACTATCAGCAGTCAGAACTGACGTTAAATAAAATAAAAATAACGTCTGTAAAAACTGTGGGTAATAGCAAATAATAATAGGCATCAAGAGGGTTGGGGGGCATCAAGACGGTTGTGGGTAGCTGGAACTCACCATTTTAAAAGGATGGTAGAGATGGAAACCCAAGAGACATTTAAGAACTATTTTGATGAACCAAATGCGAGAAAATGAAATTAGAATAGACGAAGGTTTGTTAACTGCTGTGGACACGTCGGACTGGAAGGCCAATTTCTGTGCTGTAAGAACTCTGTGACTCAATTAGCTGGATAAAGGAATATGAGAATTGTGATCTGAATACTGAAATGCTTTCTATAAATATTGAATTAATATTTATACCTAATCAAATAAGCTTTACACTTCATTATGTTAAAGCTGATCCTCTGTACATAGGTGCGGTGAACAATTGTAACTTGATTTACTGTGTCCTCTCATAAGTTTAGTGGAAGGTCCAACAGAATTGGTAACTGAATGCAGAGATACATTCATTGATTATGTTCATCTTCCATATTTTGTTATAGACCAGTAGGTAATAATTGTAGACCTAACCTATTTGGTTCACAGCATCAGAAGGGCACACAAGATATGGCAATGTGATGATATGTGCATTAAGAGGGATTTGTTCTGTCCTGTTTCTCTTGGAGAGGGGTGTTGTAAACCTGTCTACTCCATGGAAATCTGAGTAAATAGCTTTGATTTTTTTTTACAAAAAAGAAGCTTGAATGTGTGAAGTCAGGCTCACATAGACCCAAGGGTTTAAGATTGGTTGGCTCGCCGAGCTGGTTTGTTGTTCCGCAGACGTTTCGTTACCGTGCTTGGTAACATCCTCAGTGCAGCCTCTGATGAAGCGTCAGTGTGTTTTCCCGCCTGGCTTTTAAACTCTGGGGTCTGTTGCAATGGATTGCCTCACTTCCAGGTTTCCTCCATAGTGGAATGTATATGGGGTTGAGTTCAATGTGTTTATTAATAGCCTGCTTCGTGGAGTGCCATGCTTCCAGGAATTCTCGCGCTTGTCTCTGCCTCGGCGAGCCAACCAATCTCAACACCCACAACCCGAGCTACAAATCTAGTCCAAAACCTTAGAGACCCAAGGTTTTAGTTTTACTTTCAATTGTTGAAGTTTTGATTTTTGGAGTTGAAGCTGCTAGATACAGCTCTCTCTGCTGTTGCAAAAAAGCTTGAGTTCTTTCTCGGCTGCTAGATTCATTCTGTCTGCAGTCCTTCTTCTGGACTGGAGGAGATAGCAGGTGAGGGAAAAGCTGTTTTGCTGAATTTGCCTTTGCCAAGGGTGTGTTTAAGGATGCTACTATATTGGAACAGTTGATGAGTAGCAGCTTAATAATATATTATGCTGTTGAGCTTTTCAATAGAGTTAGTTATGCCAATTTTTTTCCCTTGTATTTTAACTGTAGGGTAAGAATAAAATGTTTTGCTTAAAGCCTAGTAGTGTGACCAATCAAATCATATCTGGAATGCAGCACCTCACACTTGCCTTTAAATAAAAGTTAGGATCTAGGCTACCTCTTTAACGTGTTTTGAGGGAATTTCATAACTGGTCCATAACAGCAAGGAGTATTGGAATTGGAGAATTTAGGGTTAGAATTCATGATACAACTGACAATATTAAATAAATCTAAATCTTTAATATATCACATTACTATTTATTGGCACTTTCAACTTATAAATGCGAGACATATCCACCATAACGAACCACATCCTCCCACCTCCTGCAAGATAGTCAGACCACAAATCCCAATCCTCCTGGACAGCTCTCTCTCTCTCCCCCCCCCCCCCCCCACCCACACACCCCTCTCCCCCCCGCGCCCCCCCACCCCCTCACCGTCTCTTCTCCTCCAGCCGCGTGGCAATCCGAATGCGGCGGGCCGCGATTCTCTCCTCGGCGACATCGGAGTTGACGTTGACGGTCGTTTCACTAGACTTGATGACAAGTGTGTCCGACATGGTGAGCGGCCGGTTCCCCCTGGGCCTGAGGGAGGAGGTAAGGACCGGAG